TTTCTGCCTCAATGAAAATGTTTTTAGCTAATTTAAAGGACGGCAGGAAGCAAAATATCCAGGGCTGAAAATCTAAGCAAACATGGAAGGGTGTAAAACTGCAGTTCGTCAAGTGGCCACTTGAGGCTCACTCTAAGGGTCCCATATTAAAATAAACCGGATTACAGCGTGCTAATCTTCTGCAGCTATATTGGGGGTACCTGCGAGCAGCCCTAATAACACATTAATGTGTTATTAGGGCTGCTCGCATTAAGCTAACCATTAGTGAGCTTGTAATGCTTTCTTCTAGGTCCAAAAATTCAAGATGGTGACAGCTGTAATGGTGTAGATCTAGAATCCAAAAGTCCACAAACAAAAGGGTGATGTCACTGTGGCCACATACATCTTTTATATACAGTCTATGGGCAATAAACACAAACAATCTGACAGGTTATAAACAAAACCCAGATTATCCTGATTTATGTGGAAAGCTCTGGCTTGTCTGTTCTATTCGTGTCTTCCCACTGTGACGGATTACATGCTTTCAGTATGGTTTTGATAATTTGGCTGCATCGCTGTCCAAACTGTTGGCTGATTGTTTGCCTGCTCAGGTTTCTAGCCCCTGTAAAACTTTGTTAATGTTATCATAACCACTCGAAATAACGTCCATAACTGGGAAAATAAGACCCGGCTTGTTATAAAATGGAATTACCCTTTAAAATGAGGCGTTTAGGGACCGCGTGCCTGCGTTTTGACCCGTTTGGACGACATTCATGAGAACATGTGGAGGGAAAAATGAAAACATCGTAATTAATGTGTTAACATGGCTCTTTGCATACCAAACTAGAGCCTTCTGCGAGAGATGGGCTTGAGATAAACTCCCTGACTCTAACAGCCGTCAGGTTGGACTCTGTCTGACTATTTCGGGGCCAGTTTACACAGCTGGTAAAAGTTTACGACGTGATGGATCTCGCATCCATTGTGGTTGAAATGCACATGACAAATTTAGAGTGGAATATGTCAGCCTAAACACAGGCATAAACACACACAGAGTACATTACAGATTGCATTCATGTGCGCTTGAATGCAGTTCAGATATCATATAATTCCACACCAGCGCCAACTGGATGCAAGACGTCGCCAGTGAGCGTTTTGCACTGGAATACTGTTTTGACTACCGCTCGTGCCAATTACTATAATTATGTTTAACACAGAATGTCAAATTGTTCTATATTTGGCGGCGATTTTTGCCGCCGGGCGCAGTTGGCTCATGCTCCGTTGCTCCTGGAACATGCCTGTACATAAGTGGCCTGAAACTTAACCCTTTACAGCGCTGTGACGCTCAGCCATAACACAGACTGGAGGAATGCCAGGCCGGTCCCGTTTAACAAAACAATATCTGCAGTGAGAACTTCCAGAGAGTTTTTTTGTTTTTTTAATGAAGGTGGTGTAATGGTGTACAGTGTGCTGTAATGGGAAGAGACACATTGTGTAATGTAAACACGAGTGTTTTAGTCAGGTGTGGGGCATGCGTTCACACGGAATTTATGAATGCAGTAACCAATGCAGTAAAAGTCCAGAATACACACCCAAACGCACACGCGCACACACCCCTGCTTGCTTCACAGCATCGGCACTCTGCTTGACTTCCTCCTGAATTCGTCACCGCCACAGTGCGTGTTTCACAATCGGCTCGTTTAGCTCGCCTTTGTCTTAATCAGTGTTTTCCCATTAGAGGAATCACTGCAGTGGGAATGCCATCCAGGAGCAGAAACGTAGCCCACTTTGTATTTTGCCTGTTCAGTCCAGACGGTCGATTCATCCATCACCCCCCGCCTCTGTCAGCTGTCTCTTAATCACCGGGGGGTTTTCCCTCCGACAGGTAAGCCTCTCAGAAACAACGGCGTCTTGTCAAAGACTGCGAGGCGGTGAGGAGTTGTTACTCATGAGCTATTTTTGGGGGGTTTGGATGTCTGCTATTGTTGAAGAAATGTGAAAAATGTGCAGGTGATTGGGATTACTCGGGGCTGTCTGGTGTATCAGCTTCTTTATTGGGTCCCACAGCCCCACATTAGGTGTGCTGTGAAGACAAAACAGTCGGGAACAAGACTTTGACAGGAACTTTGCTCCTGAGCTGCACACCTAAGGTTTTGTAAGATGATGCAATTCATTTGTTAGGTTTGGTTTTTTTTTGACTCATTTATGTCTTTTTTAAGTAAGTTAATTATTTTCAAGCATTTTTTAAAGCAACTATCATATTTACCTCCTAGCAGACCTGGCTTTCAAGCCGGTCTGCAGAAACATTAATAAGTGGGTGATAACACATCATGCGCCTCTAGTAATGCATGTAGAGTACTATATTTACAACAATAATGACTTGAACAGATTCGCTCAGAGCCTACGCTGCCAAAGGAGGCTTTTTGATCCCCTTACACATTTGTTGTTTTCCCAGAAATACGGATAGAAACACTTGTATACTGACAAGCCTTCAGCAAACACATTCACAGTCTGGCTTGTCCTGGAGCACCGCTTCAGTTGTTGTGGATGCCTCAGGAGGGGCTTTAAAACAGGGTTTTTTATTATCCGTGCTAGTGTGCCAAGATTTATCCCATTAAAGTCTGGAATGCCCTCACGTGGGAAATGGATTGGATGTGCACAGTCAATTTCTTTGTTCAGCTCTGTGCGTATTTGTGTGGAAGAGTTTGTTATGAGTGTGTGTGTGTCTGCCTGTAAGGCTGTAGGGTCTGGCACGAGGATGCCCAGCTTTTTTTTCTTTTCTTTTTTTTGTTTCCTCTGAGCTATTTTTGTCTGGATAGAACCGCGAACTCTGTTTTGCGTAGTTAGCCGACGACCTCGCCTCTTCCATGTGTGTGTCTGCTGGTTTGCTTGCAGGCGTGTGTGGGTTCTGCCAAAGTTGGAGATAGATGGAGGGCAGAAGTGTTGGTTTCTTGTATAGTGAGCTGATATTGATCTTGGATATCTGATACCAACCACTTAGTAAACAAGAAATGATTAGCTAAGTCGAGGAATTTGATTTGCCCAGTAGAGAGCTTGAGTGTCCTCTGATGATGATAAATTTGATTTTGCAGCTGAGGGGAGGCTTCTCTTTCCATTTTCATCACAGCCTTTAGGCACGAATAGAGGGAGTGAGTCTTAGGTGTGAAGACAGTGGTTGATGTTTTTGTAAGATAAAAGTAAGATGAAAGATGGAAACAAAACAAGAATCGCTCTAAATAAAAGGATGACTAAGTGGTTTCAGGTTTGTGAGGTATGATATCCTATTGGAGGAATATCAGGATTGATTGTCTGGCAGGTGGACGTCTTTATGTTGAAGATGTTTCATCTCTCATCCAACAAAAGTCGACTCAAGACGCTTTACATTGTAAGGTAAAGACTCCACAATAATACAGAGAAAACCCCAACTATGAATCCCCCTATAAACAACAACCTGGAGAGACTGGGGAGGAAAAACTCCTTTTTAACAGGAAGAAACCTCTGGCAAAACAAGACTTAGCCATCTGCCTTGACTGGTTGGGGATGAGGAGAGGGAGACAGGGCAAAAGACAAGTACCCATGCTGGGTGTCCCTTAGTGTATTAATAGCTAACTGTAGCAGAATGTACCGCGACCGTGGCTCAGGGGGTTGGGAATCGCATCTGTAACCGGAACGTCGCCGGTTCGATCCCTGGGCTCTCTGTCCTGGTCGTTGTGTCCTTGGGCAAGACACTTTACCCTACTTGCCTACTGGTGATGGCCAGAGGGGCCGATGGCACGATATGGCAGCCTCGCTTCTGTTAGTCTGCCCCAGGGCAGCTGTGGCTACAACTGTAGCTGCCTCCACCAGTGTGTGAATGAATAGTGGTATTGTAAAGCGCTATATAAATCCAATCCATTATTAACTTGGTGACATTTTCACTAAAAGTTTTGACGTGTAAAAAAAATCCAAGTGGTCCCGGGATTGATCCTTGAGGGACACCTTTGGTATGCTTGGAAAATTATTAGTGGTTGCCTGGTGACTGCATTGGATTTTTGTTTGGTTGCAGCCAGTTGCAACAACCAGCTGATCAGAGGTTGAGCCTGTAATAGCCTCAACGTCTGGGTGACCAGCTTTGATCTCAAGGTGATTTCACAGGTCGTCTGGTGTGAGGCAACCAGCCTCAAACTACTTTGGTCTGACTCAAATTGATTGCTGTTGCATTGCAATCAACCTGAGTCACTCTGTGATGCGTCTCCTTGCAATATTAACAAATGCAAGAATTTCAAAGGCAATGAGATTGCAAGTCCGTTCCACATAGTCAAAATAATGTAAGCTGTGCCACTGTTTTCTTTCACTGCCTTTTTTAAAGCGACTGTTGTATTAAAAGCTAGAACCTAAATGCTAATTTATGCATTTAATTTATGCGTTTCATTTGGACAAATGTTTTGTCACTCATCCAAGTAACCTTTTCAGTCTAAAGACTAAAATCAACTTCATGGGATTTACTTACCTGGATGATTAAGCATGCATTGAGGTATTTATCACCTAAACCTAACCAGTGAAAGAAGTGAGGATAAAAAGAGAGGGAAAAATTGAATTAATGTTCAAGGTCCAAAGAAAACGGAACGAATGGGATCCTGGTTGTAAACCCAACATCCTTCTCTTCCCTATCTTCTGTTGTGATCTTTTGAGGACTCTTTCCAGCTGTCTGGAAACCACGAATGTAGTGCTGGCACCAAGGCCAAAGAGCTACCTTGTGGATAATGGAGACATGCAGGTGGCCTCTCATAAAATTGCATTATCAAACACTCTGGGACAAGAATGGTTTGCAGTTTCTAAGACATACTAGAGTCCCACATGCATAGCACTTACATGATCAGTGGACTAGTAGAGAATGAATATGTTTTTGGGTACTTCTTGATTTGCCACTTTGTTAGCACTCAGACCTGGCACACTGAGCTGCTGACTGACCACACACTGACTCATTCTTATTTTCCTTCCCCCCTCTCTCTCTCTCCCCTCCATCTCCTGTTTCTTTGGTTTAGGGAAAAGCTGGCTGTGGCTCGCCTGCAGAGGGAAGTCGCACGGAGCAAGAGCGAAGGAACAATGGTAAAGTACAGTGGAAGTGCTTGGCCCTATCATCTTCACGAAGCCAGAAAAGCCACAGTATGTTCACTCCACGTACATACCCACACAGAAACCGTCAGGCTCTGCCAAAACTGTTGTGTTGGCTGAGTGTCTCGACACCTCATCAGAAGCTCTTGAAGGCAGCAATCCTGTAGAAATGCATGTGTAGGCAATAATAGAAGCAAGTACAAAAATACTGTGTTATGTGACAGTTGCCTGTTTGTGGAAAAAGCAGTGCGTTGCATAAATTTGACCTTTTCTGCACAAACTACAGGTACTTGAATGCACTGCCAGGCTCTGTGACCGTAGAATGCTGCACACTGCATTGTGTCTCTGGTAGAAAGTGCTGATGTGCCGTTCTTTTATGAGTTCTGGAGGTGGTCATTAGCATACATATGCGCTCAAAGCAGCGTATATGTTTGTGTCTGCGTTTCCACAAGTGTGTCTGAATGCATTTATAGAGTGTGTGTTTGTAAGCGAGGTCAGGAAGCGAGAAGAACCGGGTGATGAAGCGGGGCTCAGCTGATTGCAGCCTCTGAGCAGACGCTTTAACCACAGGCCCAGCTGTTTCACTGCACCCCAGTGACGCCTCTGATTCTGTGTGGCAGCAGGCCTAAAGCTACAGCACACAAGGGCCGACACGCTCCGAGATCTCCTCACCGCTGCGTGTGATTATTGATCCCCAAAGGAGGAATGCTCTATTTTTTCTTCATACCTCTTCAGAGTTGTAGAGGTCAGAGCACAGGGTCAGATACTGAGCAGAGCTCCCTCCTTGGAGATGGGCAGGGGTTTGGCATGTTGCTCAAGGGCATTTTAGCACAGTAGATACTGAATTTATTGGCTGTACCAGATGTGTAGCTAAGTTTGTGCTTCGGCTCGTAAATATAGACACTAAAAGAGCACAGACAAAGACCGGCTTTACCTCTAGGACTTGTTGATGTCAGCAGATGTCAGAGGAAATCACGCCGGAGTCAGCCAGCGCTTACTTTCTGACCTCTGGTTGACTCCAAACTGTCGCCCCCAAGCATGGCCCAGTGTGTGAAACAAGAAGGTTCATTATTGATTTTGAAAAAGGTTCAGCATTGATGGGTTGACATACTGTTGATGAATGGAAAATGAACCTGACCATCACTGTTCCTTATAGGCTAGTTGTTTAAGTTGTGTCCAGTGTGTTGTGAAATGAAAATGTATATGTAGATGAAACTGATTTGGTGTTAGACCTCAATATTAAGCTATTCAAAAAATTCATTCACTGTGTATGTGTTTGGGTTGTCAGTTTTGGGATTGAAATATTAAAGAAAACAAATGAAACTGAGACTTTTCAAAGTTGCTGGGAAAGAAGTTTTTCCTGCAAGTTTGCGTGATCATATTTTTGTGATGATATTTGGGCGATGTGGTCCAAAACAGCCGTCCTTTTTAAGATACATTTGGGCCAGATCTGACAGACTAAACAGCCCAAAATCAAGTTAGTGTTTGTTGAAGAATAAAAGGGCCATGGACACTTGGTGATTGGTGGTATTTCCCTTTAAAATCAAATTTCGTACAAACCCAAAAGATCTTTGTTTCAACCACAGAATGTCTGTAACAGACTGAAGTAGCCACTTTGAAGTTTGTGGGTTACTGTGTTGAAGCCTCTTGTTTAGTTGTTTGGTCACTGATATCCTACGCTACAGTTACAGTAGGGAACAAAACAGTAACTGGAGACCTCAGTGTGGCCAAAATGAGTAAGACTGTGTAAGACCACCACTCATAGTCAGATGAGATCTTCAAAGTGATTTGAAGGCGATAAAAAAGTCAGTCTGCTCTCAGTTTGCAGTTGAATGGGGTCAAATTGACAATGAGATGCAATCTGTTTGTGATAATACAGTGACCGAGTGTGATAAATTATCAAAAATGATAAATCTGCTTACATTCAGACCCGAGCCACAGATATGAAACAGAAATTCATCCACAAACAGCCACGTAGCTGCTGCAAGAGGGTGATTTAACTGCAAAATGACATTGGTGCTCGATAACCTTGCTTTTATATAGGAATGTACCCAGAAAACAACCAGTTGTTTGAGTTACATTCTGAGTTCCTACAAACTTCTAATCCGATGGTCACATTGTCCTGTGGTTGATTCATTTTGTGCCATGAACACAGTTTTCTTGGAGACCCACATTCTGGTCCACCAAACCAAATGCCACCCATAGGCAGGAGATGTGTTGATGCACGCTCAGTCATCAAGGTGAAGAAGTCCCAGAAAGCGGAATCTGTTCATCTGGATGTTGTGTTTTCAGTGGGAAAGCTCTGAAGCCTCCCAGGAATACCAGTGAGAAAGTCGAAGGGAGTCCATTTGGATGTTGCGTTGGACATCCCCACTGAAAACACATCATTCAGATGAACAGATTCAGCTTTCTGGGGCACAAGTAGGAGAGTTCATGTGGACCACACCAGCAGAGGTTGGTTGCAGTTGCCCCCCACTTTTTCCTTTCTTTTACCTGCGTGTGCTCACACCAAAGTGTCCACACGTTTGCATGTCAACACCTCCTCCTCTAACAGTAACCCAGCTTCCTCTGACCTCAGTGCAGCCCAACCAAAATATATCTTTCGCCATGCTGCGAGCCTCCCCAGAAGGCCCGGCTCTCCAACTGACACGACTGGATGACATGCTAATTATTACTTTAGAGGGCGACGTGAGTTACTGTCTGCGCATGCACAGTGTTGAGAGAGGGATGAGTTATCTGTGCCAGACAGGAGGAGGGTGAGGGAGGGGGGGGGGTATGGAGGAAGAAAGGGAGGAGGGGGATATCACTAAGCTCCATTTGAAATTGGGATTATCCCCATTGGATTCCCCTTCCACTCTCTCTCTGGCATTCCTGGGAGGCTTCGGAGCTCAGGCGAGGTTCTTCAATAGGAGTGAAAAAAGAGGCTGCTGCGTAAAGGAGATAATTGTCAAAGTGCTGCCAGAGTGAAGTGGAAACTGCAAACCACCCCCAGCCTGCGTCCAGTCATAGACCCCCAAAACCCATCGCCTTCTTCCCCAACATCCCCCACATCTTCGCCTGCAAGGGGATGAACCGATAGAGTCAGATTAAAACAGCGCAGACTTTTGAAGTGGCACTACCCCGCCTCTGTATCTGATGCCTCTCTTTAGCAGCCTCTGATCGCTGCCTCGATCTGATCGCATAAGGCGATCAGAGATGCCGCGAGAGTGTGCGGCAGTGTTTTTGCAGCACCATCACGACTGCATTGTGTAGGAAAAAGAAAGGGAAGGGTATCTTTATGATCGTGCAGGGCGCTAGGAAACATCGCCACAATCGTAAGCCTCGGGTTGCGCATATGAAACAGCACTAACTGCACAGTTTACTGAGGAGTGTGTGCTTTAATTCGGCGTCCCGCCGCGAAGCACGCATACTGCTGGCAGCTTGAAGCTGCACAACTCTTGTTATGGATCGTTTGGGAGAATCACATGAAACCTTTTTAAATAATTTGCAGGGCAATCAGTAATTAGGCCTGCGCTGCATTTCACCACATATATGACCACACAAGATGCGTTTTGTTATTAGTGAAAATGATCCGCCTGTCTTACGCCCCTCACTGCTTCTTAAACTTCACATCAAGGCTCGGACGTGCTGCTTTTGGCCCACTCTGCTGAAACTCCTGCTAGAAAAACAGCAGGTTTCCCTTTAGGTGTTTGACAAAGCACAGGTCGGGGTTTATACTGCGAGAGTCTCGGCCTCTTTCCAGCAAGCTTGCTCCCGTTTGTTCGCGGCCTCGTCGCTGCTGTAGGTTTTCCCTGGAATTCTTCCCGATCCCAGAGGCGTGGTGCGGTGAGGTGCAGGGCAGGGCAGAGCTGCTCTCTGTCTCCCACTTTTCTTTTGATGCCACTCCGAAGTGCAGTCTAAGTCCATCAGGGGCAGGATGCCGAGGTTTCCTGTCAGGGGCAGAGAACACAAGTCTGCGTGTAGGCTTGTAAAGGTGGCGCTGCCTGCTCTGTGGGCTGAGGGGGCGGAGGGGGGCTGGGCTCGCCATTAAAAAGGCATTTAAAGCTGTTAGGTGAGATTATGACCGCTGGAAACGGCTGTCTAAACAACATGTGAAAATAAATGATCTGGCTTTGAGAACAACTAGCTTTATTTTTCTTTGGGTTTTGTGGATGCTCTGTGATATCCGAGCCTCGCCTCGTGCATACCCACACACTGCCGTTTCCATGGGCGCTCGGGCTGATTGCGGCGTTTGATTCTTTCACGGTTGAGCGAAACATACATGCAAGTGATAAAAGGGAATTGTTTTTTTTATTTGCCTCAACTCCTCGGCTTAATTGAGCAACTTGCTCATTTAAAAATCTGATTTCTCCGGAGCATTTCATGTAGAAAATGAAGTTAAGATAAAGGAGGAGGACGATGGGGGAGGCGCTGCGTTTGTGAATATAAAGTGAGAGCACAGCATGGTTAAATAAGCCTCCAAGCCACGATAGGAATCAGCTATTTCTGTACATGAAAATGGATTTTGCGTGTGCTGCAATCTTCAAGAGTGTGTGACATAGTTTGTAACGCCACATCAAGTAACATTTGCGGTTCTCTGATGAGGGAATGCCCCTTTTTTAACAGGTCGTTTCACCCGAATCTATCTTGTTGCTACTTCAGCTTCAGGATTTCATTCAATAATTCAACATAGTCACTGAAGAAGCAGCCCTGGATAGCTCTGCAGTATGTCTGTGTTGGGCTTTTACAAACATTTACACACTTTTATAGCTGGTATCAAGATTCTAAGCTAAAGCATGACTTGGGGTAGGCTTTAATGTAGACTGATAGAGGAGGTGTCAGATATTCCAGGAAATATCTTACTTAAATAATCCACCTACTCGTCGAGAGGTCGGTGAGTTCATCCCCTTGCTCTTTTCACCTACATGTTGAAGTATCCTTGGGCAAGATATCGAACCCAGAGTTGCTAAGAAAAACAGCACTCCAGACAAGGGGTGGTTAAGAGTGAGGACCCAACATCAATGGTAAATAATTTTTATACAGTGCTTTTTAATGCATTTCTTATATTACAC